AGGGGTGCTTGGAAGAAATGGAATGTTTTTTTTTTGGGGGGGGGGGGGGAACAGAGATATGGAACCAAGAATCTGGGTGGTACTTCCTGCCCTGCCTCCTTAAAGAGCCAGCAGCCCAGAGGCTGAATGCAGAAGTTTGGCAGAAATGCCTCCACTGAAGGCCTGTCTCAGACGCTGGATGGATGCCACATCCTGGTGTGCTGGGATGGGCGTGATGCTCCAGTGACCACACACAATGTAGTATCCTGAAGGAAAGGAGGCACCCACAAAAGGAGGCCCTGAGGGAGAAGTCGATGCAGTGCTTATGGCTCAGCCTCAGTGCAGGTGGAGGGCTGGAGGATGCCCAGATGTTCTTTCTAATTCCAGGTGACAGGAAGAGGGTTTAGGCAGCTGGATGCGGAGGCCAGGCCAGGGCAGTGTGCCTATCTGAGCACTCACATACAAAGGGGGTAAGGCTGCATTCACACCACCAACAAAGGCAACACGTTAGTAACAGCACGTTAGAATGTTGTTTCCACTTTTCCCAGAAGAGTATGCTCCATAAAGTCTACATTACAAAACACCAGAGGTTTCTTTTCAACTTGTCACATGCTCAGAGGTGGACAGAAACATCCTAGGAGGGGGAAGAGCAAGAACTGGGCCTATAACATTCCCATGAACAAGATCCTACTGCTCTTTTGAGAAGTCTGTACTGCTTCTTCCTTACTTTAATTCTCTCCCATTACATTTTCTATTAAAGTACAGGTAGCCAAATAGAAAATACACACAGCGGTTATCAAAGGCACGTGCATGAAAGAAACAGCCTCGTCCTTTCAAGTTTACTGCTCACATACACTCTAAAGAGAAACAGATTTCTGTACCTGGAGCACTACAATGTATATGCCGGGTTCCATTCTCTACATCCAAGTAACAGATTGTAACGTGAAAGGTTCTTAATTTGAACAGCACAGCGGTTAAAGAGTTTGGTGCAACAAACACACTTTGTGTGGATACGGCTTCCCTTATACTGAAACGCGCAAACACACTCAAGCCTCACACATGGAGGAGACCCGGCCTCAGGAAGTTCTGCAACCAGGCCAGCTCTCTGTGGCTGGAGAGGAATGGAAACTATGCATGATCTGAAGCTTCCCATCCCAGGGCAGTCAGTACAGGGCAGGAGGCGGCACAAAGAGGAAGCGCAGACCCACTCTGGAAGCACACACACACACCCCCCCCCGGCTTTGCTGAGAGAAAAGGGGAGCGGAAAAATTAGGCTATGGAGAGAAAAGGGGAACGGCAACGGAGAGAAAAGGTGCACTTGAGAGAAGGCAGAGATGTTCTGCCAGGCCTTGGGTTCAGGGCAGGCACGGTGGACATCATGCCTGGCCTGGCACCAGTGTTCCCTCTAAGCTGAGTTAGCATGAGCTAGCTCACAGTTTTTTAGCCTCTGGCTCACACATTTTTGTCTTAGCTCAGGGAGGATGGCTCCAGAGCAAACTAACTTATGCAGTAGCCAAATCACTCGCTCACACAACTTTCATGCCAGTCGCTCACAAAGGAGAATTTTTGCTCACAAGACTCCACAGCTTAGAGGGAACATTGCCTGGCACCCTGCCTGGATCCCTACTGCTTGTGGAACTCCCTCCCTCCCTCGCTGTGCGTCCAAAGCACTCATAGGCCAGGTAGGGGAGGGAACGCAAAAATTTTCACCACTCGCTTTTAATTACTGTATAATATGTTGGGTGTGATTTTATGGTTTTAAAATTTTGCACATCACCCAGAGGCCCACAATTGTGGGGATTAGGTGATTAATAAATGCAATAATTAGATAATGAAAGGGTTTAGGACTGCCTGGGAGCCACTTAAGTTTGCTGGGAGAGACTGGGAGGGCGAGCAATACTCTGGCCTCACCCTCGCAAAGCAGCCTTGTTCATTTACTGACTTGGTTTCTATACCCGGCCGTTCTCCCCAGAGGGGACACAAAGCAGCTTCCATAATTCTCCCTTCCTCCATTTTATCCTCACAACAACCCTGTGATGTAGGCCAATGTTCCCTCTACGCTGTGGAGTCTTGTGAGCAAAAATTCTACTTCATGAGCTACTGGCATTAAAGTTGTGAGCGAGCAATTTGGCTACTGCATACAGTAGTTTGCTCTGGAGCCCTCCTTCCTGAGCTCAGACAAAAACGGGTGAGCCGGAGGCTAAAAACCAGTGAGCTAGCTCACACGAACTCAGCTTAGAGGAAACACTGATGTAGGCTAGGCTGAACATGTGTGAACTGCCCAAGGTCACCCAGCGAGTTTCTATAGCAAAGTGGAGAATTAAACCTGACCGTCCCAGAGCCTGGTCTGTCACTTTCACCACTACACCACATTGCATCCTGCAAATACATCCACAAAAAAACACATTCTCTACAAATTCCCTTGATACCCCTGTGAGAAATCCCCAGCATGATCACAGCCTGAAAAAAAGAAAAGAAAAAACCAACTCTTCCAGTTTATAAAAATTTTTTGCCTGACTGCCTGAAGGTGATTCTTAGGGAAGGTTGCCAGATGAGAAGCTATTTACAAATCTGTATTCAAAGAAAGTGGCAAAAGGCATTCTGAAATTGTGACAAAAAGCTGAGGAAAATCACTCTTCTTTACCTAAACTCCAGTCTAGACCCACCTGTTAAAAAAGAAATTCCAGGGCACATCCTTTCAGTCAGTACCAGATTTGGTTCCGTTCGGTACAAACACACACATAGCTGAGGCTCAAATCAATGCTGGCCACAGGCCTAGAGTTCGCACATCATCATGGGCAGGGTTTGATGTCTAGATCCATGTGGCAGAGGGCAACCTGAGCCTCAGAAGGACACCAGGCCATCACACAGGTAAAGAAGCAGAGCGGCACCTACCTTGCAGTAACCTAAAATAAGCCTGGCCTCTCCAGGAAGCCCTGGGACCAGGTGTCCTGTCTGTGGGCCACGTCAATGACATGGCACCAGCCCTTGTTTGCCAACAACTGTACATTTCCTGGGAAGCTGGTGCCAATCCCAGCCCCCTCGGGAGTACAACTAGCATTGCAAGCACACGAACATCCAATGCACTGCACAGAGGAACTCTTAAAAAGTAAAGTGTGATGACCCTGAATCTACTCTGCAAAATGCATAAAGTGATTTTATTTCACGTCTGTCTGGGGCTTGGAGCCCTGTCCCCTCAGAAGGCAGGCTTCAAATACTAGTGGAGTGAAGGGGTTACAGTGGCAGACCAAGAACTGAATAGGGAAGGTTGCTGGGTGGCCCTGGGCCAGTCACTCTCCCTCTCTCTCAGCCTAACCAACTCATGGAATTCGTTTTGAG